CTATCATCGTGGAAATAGGCTACGGGAGTACTAATCCTCAAGAAGAAACCTGGCTTGGTAAGGTAACTTTCTCGACTCCTTTGGATCGACGACTTCCTAAAGCTTCTCTGTTTCCGAGTTTCTTCATTATCTTTCGCTGCTTCGGATTGGTATGCTTTCTTGGTTTCTTTGGACTCCTTTAAACGAAACCAAATCATTCAAATAAATCAGGTTTCTGAGATAAGATCTACCAAATAAAAAGGATGGATGCTACTTAATACATCAGGTCCATCCAATTCTCTCAATTATATTTTTGAACGTAATTCTCTTCGATTTTTCCGACTTTCTGCATTGCTTTGATTCTTTCGGAGTCCTTAGATTCTGAAGCTTCTTCGTTTTTTTATGTATGCTCCGTTCTTACACAATTAATCATAATATAGACAAAAAGATAGTTATATTTATATGTTGTTTATTAAAAACCGGATCAACAGTAAGAGTGTACCGGTACCTAGACCGGTACCTTCATGTTCTCAAATGAAATCTAAGGAATAGCTATGCGTTAGCTTGAGAGGAGCTTATGAAAAATCCTCAACATTATTTTAAAGCAGCCTAAGAAATTATCTTTTATTTTGTGACCAAGGGGAGACCCACGGTCATATGAGCTCTTATTCTGCATGACATCATCGCCAATTGGTACTCAGTAGTCAGTGCTTAATTTCTGCTATGTTCTATGAGAAAAATCTAAAGAAGTAAATCAACAGTCCCCTCACAAAATTGTTTAAGTATTGCAAAGCTATTTTTTTTTATAGTTTGGCCAAAGAGTATACATACGTTATATACTTCTTTGGTTTGGCACATTCTGCTGGTATTATTCAATGCTAGAGTGCCTTGCCACAAGATGGAACCCCTTGTTTATTTTTGGACGATAATTTTGCCTAATATTGTCTTTTATAAAAAAATTTTCATGCCAAAAGGAAACCGGCACAATTTCAACATGTCACCACTAACTTTCCTTCCTCGAATTTCACAAAAAACCTTCGCCTACTGTTATATACACTTAACTATTTACAATATATAGTACAAAAATCAATGATAGAGAAAAATGTTCTTACCACTCCTTGGGGCAATCCAAAGTCGTAGGTTGGCGCAGGAGTGCCAGGTTGGTAAGGGCCTCTAGCATATCTCAAGATGGCTAGTTGTTGCGCCCTCCTGATACCGCATTCGCCTAATCCTCTCAATTGAATCCAGTAAGCGCCCTCAGGTTGATCGGCGTTGATGACAAAATCGTACCGCTCACCTGCAAAAATAAGCGTAGGAAAGTGGGCAAGCTGCGTTACGGAGGGCATACCTGAGAAGGATATGATTGTGTTCACTCGAACAGGATGTACCGGCTCGCCGTCGGTTGCTATTAGCGTTAAGTCGTGTCCTTGAATTGTTAATTGAGCAGGACATACTGATGCAAATGAGTTAATCATTCTGAATCGATATCTTCGACCAGGTGTTATCGTGAATACTTCCAATGGGGTGTTGGTCATGAATCCGGTGTTGGGATCTCTAAATTGACCCTTGCCGTTGATAAGCATACTTTCGGGGTCTTGTCCGACGTTCACTGCGAGACGTCCGGGAAACCGTTCGGCGGCGTCTTCGTGCATCCAGTCGCTCAGAAGCATAACATGCGTTGTTAAATCAAAGTCGTATAAATGACTGTTGGGGTCTTTGGAGGGAGCTTGCCGGATTACGATGCTTCCATAGAGACCGTCGATTTTTTGTAGACCAGTGTGCGCGTGCCAAAAGTGAGTGCCGGCGTTTCCTGCGATCCATTGATATCTGAACGTGTTCCCTTGCTGAATGGGGCACTGTGTTACGAATGGAACACCATCGTAGTATTGACTGCCCCGCTGCCACACGCCGTGCCAATGGATTGTCACTTCCATACCCTCCATGTGATTCTCTACGTCTACGACCACCTTATCACCCTCGCATACTTGTATACTGGGACCGGGGATCATACGATTAGCCGCTAAGACGCCTCGTTCGACACCATCCGCTAGAATACATTGGCAAGTGGACCATACCGTATTGGTCGCGTTCGGCGTGCACACTTGGCAAGCGCTGAAATTAAAAACGAAACAAATATGAGGACCGTAAATGGCACTGTTGAAACAAAAGAAATAAATAGTCTAGAATTGTGCAACTTATGAAATAGTAACTACGAAGGTGGTTGTCCTCTTGAAAGGAATTGCAAGGTCTTCATATACAAGAACCTTGTCAGTATTGTTTAAAATAGGTTGGATAATTTTTTTAAATTCTAAATGACAACAACGTAAATATAACTATCTCTCTTACAAGACTATTTACTTAAACCGAAAGTAACGCAAACAGTTTTGTATACCGCACATAAATGATACGGTTGAAAAGTACAGGTTGCTGCCTCATATTTAAATTATCACTTTCTAGCTCCTTTTCCACAGTAATTTAATGCCCTGTTGAGTAATAAAGGCATAACAAGCTTATATTTAGAGAATAAACCGTTTGCATGGTTCTGCTACCGACGAGAAAGGTACCATTGATTATTGTTTGTATCAAGCGTGATATGTACACTAGAAAAGTGAGTTATTGACTGTGTAAACCTGAAGGTATTCGATTTAACTAGGTCACATGTTTAGTTATAGTCCTTCATGGCTACTTAATTGCGTGCGGGACATGTCAGAAGCAGTAGGAACTGCCTGTAGCAGGAAATTGGATGGGATAGTACCTACTAAAAAAATCTGAGACTAAAACAGAATACCCAAAGTGAAATTTATTCAAAAGTTTTCGGGATTGAATAGATCCTGGAGGTCTATCGGTTGCTTGATTTGATTAGACAAGCAACCTTCCGACTGCACGCTGGGTTAGGTCATGCTCTTTTTATATTTTTTTAAATAACTTGGAGTAAGGATATTTGCCAAGACCCATTTTTCAAAAGAAATATTCAGTAAAATCCGATCAAGGAGGAACCTGAGGTTCGATCGCTCCAGGTCTTGTGTTATTTACTTATCTGAACTGACATTCAGAATGGTTGGGTCCAAGGTGCTCAGATCATCTGCGTATCGATTATCCCAGCTATCATCAGATATCAGAGGATAAGAAGATGTTTATTATCGAACTAAAGAAACATTGGAAAAAGAAATCCCGAATAATCGAGTTTTGTGGACGACAACTTACATACAGGATCTTTGCAGAATTGATTCTTGATCAAGTTGACTGCTGAAGTGTAATTAAATACGAAGCTCAGATTTACGACTGATCCTTGGACTTTTCTTTCAAACAGTTCCAAGATTGGGCTACTAGTTCAAAAGTTACAGCCCTTTGAATTTTCTTTTGAAATTGGTTTCTAGTCTATAACTTTTGATTGAGAAGTCTGATCGAAAAAGTACGAATTGATTTGGATTCTACGCACCCAAATTAATAAGAAAAAAGTGTTTTCCCGAGAAATTTTGGTGCAGTCGATTTTTGGTAAAAAAGGAAGGTTATACACTGCCTTTTTTTGAAGCCCGAAGAAAAAATTCTCAGATCGACCCGGAAAAAAAATTTTCTTTTAGAATGTGGCCTGTAGAATCCATAATTTCAAACAGTTCCAAGATTGGGCTACTAGTTCAAAAGTTACAGCCCTTTGAATTTTCTTTTGAAATTGGTTTCTAGTCCATAACTTTTGATTGAGAAGTCTGATCGAAAAAGTACGAATTGTTTTGGATTCTACGCACCAAAATTAATAAGAAAAAGTGTTTTCCCGAGAAATTTTGATGCAGTCGATTTTTGGTAAAAAAGGAAGGCCTTTTTTGAGGCCCGAAGAAAAAATGGTCTTAGATCGACCCGGAAAAAAATTTTTCTTATAGAATGTGGCCTGTAGATTCCATAATTTCAAACAGTTCCAAGATTGATCCGGATACGGTTGGCGCAAAATATACGGTGCGTGCGTACATGAAGCGTACACCTTTCTAAGATATATAAATTATGTAAATAATAATATTAATACATTTGTTTACCTACCTATATAGTTCCTATAAATTAAAAATGTTACATCTGTATTAAATTACATTAACAATTAGAGCACAGCAGCGAAGTGCGTGTGCTATATGAGTAAAGTGACGACTGAAAATAATTACGATTTCGTTTGATGTTTTGTAATTTTGGTGTTTAAGACGGACTTTCTTGCAAAAAAGCGATCAATATGGTGATGGTTTGATAATTGTCTTAAAAGCTACTGAAGAAGTAGGCTATGATCACAGGAACTCACGCAGAAAGGCCGGAATGAAATACTCTGCTTCAATAGAAACAGGAAAAAATTAAACGTTTTTAAGAAAAGCATCGTAATCGCAAACATAATTTATAACTAATGCAATTATTGCTATGAGCTAGTATTTCAAACACAGATTTGGTTTTACTCATGTTTAGGTCCCTAACACCCAACTAAAACCTAAAGTGTAAAAATCGACAGCTTTAGCTTAGCTCATAAAGGTAACGGTATTTATGAGTAATTCATACTCCCCAGTTAATATTAACGCATAATGACACCAGTAGAATTAACATTAGTTAAACAGGGTAGATATAACAAAAAAATTATTGCAGCGGGAGCACATTTTTCCGAAATAAATCGAGGGGTCACGATGATGGTTCAAAAGTTTACTTTTCTTCCTTAAGGTTTTTCTCAGGAGCCATAACAGGAGAAACGATTAAACTGGCGGCTTCATTTAGGTTTTGAGACCTGTTCTTTCAGACAATTCGCTCCCACGATAATTCGCTCCCAGGACAAATCGCTCTCAGGATAATTTGGTTTATCAAATATTGATAATTTAAATTAATTTTTTTACCAAATTATGGTACCCACACACATAAAGAAAGCAGGTTGTCAGCTTGCCGGTTATTCGGCCCCGACCATGAGCGCTTGTAATCATCGACACGTGCACAGAAGATTCTTGTCAGACAGTTCGAAATATGACAAGGAAATACCGAAAATTAATGCATACAATACTCCTGCAGGAACTTCTGAGCGAATTTGCATAATATTTAAAACATTCAACACCAATCACTCGTTTGGCAATAAGCTTTAAAAATTATTATAAAAACCAACTAACATTCTATTCAAGAATTCTACGGGAGTCGGATTGTCCTGGGAGCAAATTGTCCGGGATTAACTTATCCGGGCGCGAATTGTCTTGGGAGCGAATTGCCCGGGGAGTAAATTGTCAGGGTGCGAATTGTCCGGGTCGAATTGTCTGGGCGCGAATTGTCCGGGTGCGAATTGTCCGCGCACCGTTAAATACATATTTCGGGGGTAAAACTACCATAGGATCTTCTTCTTTTCCTGGGGAGTATTCCTCTCAGTGGTGCTAACTTCTTTCTCAAAAACGTTATTTAACATTTAACTGCTTAAAGGTCTACAATAAATACATATTCCGGTGGGTCTGGGGGGTGAAGATTACATGTGATAGTTGCAGGGAAAGGGGCATTGAATCTTTCTTTCCTGGGGAGTATTCTATACGGAGACAGGAGGTAATTCAATGTCTCTTTCCTTACTAGTATCATAGGATCTTTTTTTTTACCTTTCCCAAAAACGTTTAGACATGGTACTATACTGACTGCTTACAATGAATACATATTCCGAGGGGTCTGGAATACCCCCTCCCCCACCTATTAAACCTATTGAAAATAAAGATCCTATACGATGGTTGTAGGGAAAGGGGCACTGAATCTTCCTGCCCCGGTATAGAACATTGTTCAATGGAACCTGCCTAGGAAAGAAAGACTCAATTTCCCTTTCTCTACAACTACCATAGGATCTTTTTTGGTGGAATAGTCATAGCTTTGACTGTCAAAACGTAATAAATCAATGGGCGAAGGTGTGAAGAGAGCCGTGTAATTTGGGAGTTTAATAAAAAGTGACATTCCATTACGTCTTCCACTCGTACCAACTTGTACGAGTACCTTTTGGGCCACAGCAGCTTTTGGATAATCAAAAAAGTAATGATTTTTTTACGGTCGAATAAAGTGTACATCAAATGGATAACAAGTAAAGAAAAGGCACGTAAACGGGTCATAAAGGAGCTTTTTTGGTGGTATATTATTTAAAAAAGCATTATTAGTTATTCACACACGCTACTTAGCACCATAGTAACACTAGTTCTACTACAGTCCACCACACACGTGTCACAAGAGCGTATTTTCATCCCAAGCACATAGTAATTCTTATACAGCGTGGCAAGTTGACGGCGGAACATAGGGAAATAACATAGGAAAATACATTTTCGGCAATTCCTAAATATGAAAGGCAATTTAGAAGGTTGAAAATATGTCGATGTTGACTTCAAAATAATTATATCGCTTTAATTAAATGAAAGGGCGTCTATTAAAAAGTCTAACAATCAAAAATAATTTTTTGCCACTCAGATCGCATTCGGAAACCAGACTTTTAATCCGGCTCATATTCAATAGCACTGATCCTTGAGCTCGTAGTTATCGATTGGCGAAGGTTTGACATCGCTGTCTATTTCGTTCTCAAGTTAGACGAGGAACAGACGGACAAAACCATCACATAACGGGAATTGTTTTTCTTTCGAAACAAGCAAATGGTTTTCATTGTGTTTTTTGGAAAGCGATGGTGCCTATGTGGACAATTGGCACGGGATAATTAATTCCTGGACAATTTAAGAGCAAAGGAAAACGTCCAGGGAACGAATTCCCAAAACAATATCTTGGTAACCATGGAGGATAAACAAAATTTTAATTGTTCTGAATCTAAACATGCTAATTGTTTAATCGATTTTTGTCACTAACTGAGATTTTCAGGAACCGCATCGGATATTTTGATTTTTGCATACGATATTGAAAATCTGTACATATTACTCGTACCCCGCCAACAAAATTCAATGGAAGACAGGGTAGTGCAGTAAAATCGTTTGATTTGGTTGCTTACGAAATTACTGTGCGAATATTTAGAGACACTTCCCATAGTAGGTGACAATTTAAGAATCCACTTCCCTAGACCTTTGGCCTGTCTCTGTCGTAATTCTTTAATATATAGAGGGTTTATAATCCAGATTTGCCCAAAATAAACAGTACTGAAAATAAATTTTTAGGTGTCTATGCGCGCGCCCCCATATTCACGTTAGCTTGTATGGCAGTGAAATTCACAACTTTTAAATGAGTTCTGAAGGACGCCTAATTTTAGGGCACCAAAATAATTTCCTACAACAAATGAAGATCTGGCAGTGATATTAAATAATTTGAATATTATTGCTTTGACTTCCGTATTTTCGTTCGTGTGCGATGTATGTACGGCGATGACAGCCAGATGTTTATTTCTTTTAAAAAGTTATTTTGGATGCATAATATTAGGCGCCCTTCAGAAAAGATTTTGTGTTTTAAAAGTAGACATAGAGAAAAGCAATACATTTAAATCCCTATGTCTACTTCTTCATGAATATTTTTTATTTTTTATCCCTTTCTTGTTCTGGGCCCTCAACAGGTTTGCGCCCAATTACAGAGTGACCCGCATAATAATATCACTGTATAAGTGTCGAGCAAACCTTAAAGAACTTAATAGCAGGGCCCAATTGTTAAAATTGGTGTTGAGCACGGAGGAGAAAGTGTTTCTGGCGGAGCATTATTTCCCCTTAAAAGGAAACTCGGGGCGTCCCAGGACACCATGAACGCGTTTTTGAGCGAAACTCGGAGCTTTACACTCAGAACTTAGACAACCCTTAAATAAATAAATAAAGTTCAAAAAATGTTTATTTTTCAAACAAATTAAACAGTTACAAGATATTGTTTATTTGGGCGAAACTGTATTTCTCGAGGTATTTCTTTATAATTTAGAAGAAAGGGTTTCAGTATTAAAACATTTAAAGCGACCTTTGAATTATGGATTTACATGCTTGGCTAACTACCCAGTATAATAAAGCTAAATAAGTTCTCCGGAATCGTGGAGTTTTTTTTGAATTTTTTAAGTGGTAATAGATGCTAAAAAAATGGATATTGTATATAATTGATGGGAAATGTGTCAAAAAAAGACGGCAGAATCTGTAGAGTTCTCATTATGACATAAGTGAACTGATTTTGAATACAAAGGAGAACTTGATTAACTAGATTAAAATTGTATAAAAAAATAGGTATGGAATAAGAAGATCAATAATTTGTGCTAAAATAGTATACCTATTATACCTGTAGGTACCACGTCTGAGTTTTGAGTTGAGTTGAGTTTAAATATATCCCAAGGATGCAGTGATAATTTTTCATTTTTCTTGCAGAGAAGGTTCGAGATTACAGTGAACCCCAGAAACATCAAATTTACTTCGATTGCATAGGTAAAACCACCCTTGACTTTGTTTCTTGAGTTTTGGGAATATGCTGTCAGAAAAGATTCGGTTACGTTAAATTCGGTAGTTTTTCTAATACGATTACTTGGTACCAATAAGAAATTAGGATCGATGTTTGCGTTAGGTACGGAGATACACACTTGCTATTGTCTTGACTAAAGTTCTGGACAGTCCTTCAGTAGTTATGAATTGCTAACTGCACTCAAAGACTTGGCGAAGAAGTTATAGTATACTTACGCTCCCAAAACAGTATAGTACTCCAAAGTGAAATGGTAGTAACATATCCTCGGCGGTTCTCCTTCTCGACAAGCTCTGGCGCACTCATCCGGTGCAGACAAATTAGGGTTTCTTCTCAATTCTGCGGTGGCGGACGTCCTATAATCTAAATGCTTCGATCCGCTCGCTTTTGGCAACTGCGATCTTGTCGGATTAAATCGGACATTATTTACGTTATCCTTTAGCGCCAGACTAGGATGGGTCTGTACCAGACCGTGCATCGACGAAAAAAAATCTGCATTGTCCGCAATTTCCGCCGTATTCACCGTGTCCTGCTGCCACCATGACGCCGACGTGGACTGATCTGAAACTAAAAAGCGATGTTAGTGCGAAATTCGCATGCAAATCGGTGAGATATTTTCGTAGGAATTGAACTCTGGCCTAGTTGATGTCATATGAAAGTTGCACTTTTGGGGAAGTTATGATATTTCCCGGTTCTCTTAATAAAAATTTCACTTTTTGAAAAGATTGCATTTTAATTGCGCATTCATTTATCGGCAACACACTCATTTCTTTTAAGCTGGGAATTTAAGCTGTTACGCAACAATTAAGCATTGTATTCTGGTAGTAAACACACAAGCCAAATTACCTACACCTTTTAAACAAAAGCGCATTACAAATTAAATTTGCGTAAACGCTCAACAATGGCCGGCTTACAAAATAAGAACTCCAAATACAGATATGTATGTACTTCATTAAATTATGTTTCATTCACCTGGACAGGTGGGCATGCAATATCGACAGGTTTGCAGAACGTAACGATATGTGTAAAAACATTGAATTTTATACGTAATTTATAAGGAACCCATCAAAATTCCGTAAAGCTTGTAATCAGAATCTAAATATTTGCTCTACATACCGTGAGTTTATAATTAATTCAGTAATACGATCGTATTATAAGAGCAAATTTTCACTTTCACATTTTGAGGTTTTACCGTTACGCTCAATTTGCTGTTACACTTTATGAATCATGCCGACAATTATTTGTATCGGAACTATTTGCATCTAATCCTTATGTAAGAATGACTCGGTGATAAAAAGGGAAAGAAATGTTTATTGTTCCTATAAGTTTATTCATTACATAAAGATCAAGGAGAACGACCTGCCCGCGGAATGGGTGATAGTTTTGTGCAACGTATATAGCTATAGGGTGTATGGGGTTGAACGGAACGCTTGGGCTTACCATGAGATGTACCCATTGTCGGTGATGAGTAAACCAAATTTGTGTCTTCTGACATTAATTGGTATTCTTTCACTCTTTCAAGTCGCCCTAAAAACTGAAAGTAGGATTGTAAAGTACCAAAATAAACCAGAAAATACTAGAGAATACCCGATATTTGTACAAAAAAGGTACCAAAACAAAATATGCTGCAAGAATTTGAATGAACCTACATAAGCTGTGTATATTCCATTTTTTACTGAACCTTTTTATCTCTCATTTACCCTTAATTCATTCAGGAGAAACAGTAAAACTGTAGTCTTGCAAAGAAATATGTTAATTTGGAATATGCGCGTAAAACTTTAAGGATAGGCATTTTTAATATTATGCATTTGATACAATTTTAACTGAAGAAACGAAAACGCTTGGGTAAATAATTAAAAATTTAAATATCCTAAAAACGGCGTTAAATTCGACTAGCCTTCCGTTAACGTTACTGTCAAAACTCAATTAACATCCTACGTTAAAGTGTAATACAAAAAACATGTATAATTGAAGCAGAATCTCATAAACATAAAATGTATATTAATTCTAGAATGTTTTCGCTTTTATTACACGCGTTTATGATTTAACTAAATTCATCACATTAAACAATTTTCTTTATCTTTTTCACTTAACTTTATTATTGCAAATATTTACAGAGATTAAGTGATTTCTCTTCCATTAAATTAATTACAGACGAGCGTACAACAGCTTGGGCGTTTTCTAAGATTTCTTCTTTGACGTGAAAATATGCGGCGTGTGGAGAGAAACATGTCTCTTTCCGAAATTATGTTAAGGTATTAATTATGGTGAAAAGAATTTTAATTTTCCACGCGATTGGTTTCGCCATAGAGCGTGAGGCGATTATAATTAGCGATTTTTCTTTTCCTGATGACAGAGTATGGTAGTAATCATTTTCTGGTAGCGTTACTAATATTCTAATTGGCTATTCCCCATTTATGTTAGCATTTTGGCAGTTTGCCATATAGTTTATGGATATCTCCGTCTGTGGTCATCGTCTACTGGTGTTGAGTTTTCTATAAGCAGTTATATTCTTGATGGCGGAGTGGGGATAGCAAATTTTGCTATAATTTAATTCGTTACAGAGCGATTAACATAACACGTTCACTTTATGTAAAACCGCAGCTGAGAATTATTTACCGAAACCTACTGTGAACTTAAATTATTTACGAATAGTCCTAATTATCCTTTAGAAATTACCAAAAATCATCCAAACCAAGTTTAGCACTTTGCTCCATTTTGGCAGAAACAATTTGTTACAATTGTCCAACAAATAAAGGAAATTAACAACAACAAAGAGTATTCTATTGCTACAAAAATCACATTTCAATATTAACAAATAGGTACTTACTCTTTGAAGAGATTTACGAACGCAATTGACGGTAATACGATAGGTCGACAGTGAGTCTTTCTAGCTAAGAACATAACAATTCAATGATTAGAACCCAACGAGCTTTTTTTACAGTTTCACTTACAAAATTGCTAGGAAAATTCACTATCAAAATATCTCTTTTCTCCTTCCTTCGCGTTTTTTGCAGTTTTTTCGCAATAAGATAAAATCTGTAGTCAACATTTTGATCTCTAACGTATTGGGTTTACTTTGAAAAGCAGATTCAAAGAACAACAAGCTCGCATTTGAAAAGCAAAAGCATCGCCCAGTCAATTTGAGGTTCCTTACCTATCAATTTTGGGTATCATCAACACGTTGAAATATTAATAAACCTCCCTGCCCTGCTCCATTGCCCTTGTTCAAGAAACCTGCGTTACTAAATCAAGGATGTTGGGGACACAAAAGGAACCGTTTTCTGACAAGTACCTACTAATCTGGAGATTAGCGAACCCACGTTCGTAACTTCCCGAAGCCAGACTGCGATTGATATCAGTCTGGCATTGTACTGAATTTTGACGATGGAAATGGCCCTTAGTGCAAGAAAAGTAACTTGCTTATGCATAACATACTTGCAAGTAGCAATTAGCAACACCCTTGAGCTCGCATGGATCAAAGGGCATTGAGAATGCCGACGAGTTAGTCTGACTGGTCTCAAAACAAGAATTTTATGGTCCAGAGAAGGCTCTTCCACTTACATTTGCAATTGAAAACAATTTAATAACTCAAGACACCCATCCTAGCAGAGGGCTAGGTAGAACATGATGTTAGATTGCCTCCATGCGGGAAAAGCCTTCAAAGGACCATTCCATAGCCTGGCGCGTTTGCGATGGCTTGAGTTACGTTGAGTAGTCGAACGACTCGAGCCAGGGGGGTAGTATAAAAGGTCGCAATTTGAGGCTTAGAGCCCCGTCCACACTTCTATCGTAATCCAGAATCCCGTTCCAGTTCCACTCGTCATTTGCAAGTACGTACCTTCCTCCTACACTCCGCTCTGGAGATATGAGGGATTATACCCCAATACGATAAGGGGTTAAGGACTGTGGTAGGTAGAAATTATTTCCTTTCGTTGAGACCTTTCATTAGAATACCATGAAGGATAAAACCAGTCCCCTTCTCTTCATTTTGAAAAGGGGCTGGAGACAAGGGCAGTGTAGTAAACAGTTCCTTTCGTTGATACTTTTGATTAAAATTAAAATATCAGTTTTTAGCCCCCCTCCTCCAATTACAAAAAGGTAAAGAATTATAACCGATCCTGATAATAGGTCGTGGAGGAAAGCGTATAAGTTAATTCCTTTTCACCTCATATTTTACTAAGGGGTAAGAGAGAAGGACGGTAGTTGACAGAAAACTGTTCCCTTCGTTGAGCCCTTTAATTAGAGTACCATAAAAGATGAAACCAATTTCTACCCCTTCCCCTTCCACGTTACCCACTGATCTCGAAAAGGAATCGCAGAGGACACTTATAGTTTGTAGAAACCAATTACTTTCGATCCCCCCCCTCCCCAATTTTCAAAAGTGTTTTATGGAGATAACAAAATTGAAAGGCACGCCTTCAATGTATAGGCCGGCTATTGCAACAAATTTCAGGTCTCTAAGACAATTCTCATTCAAATAGTGCAAAACCGTAACAGTGGGCCCGGATGGACGGACGGACGTATGGATCAACCAACTAAAATGGCAAACAAAATTATGTTCTTAGGAATAACTATTCAGGAGCGATTATCTCTAAATTTTAAAGCTTTGAAAGATATATGTATATTAAGCAGTATATAATATCTAAAAAACAACTCGATTTTGGACATTCCGCTACAGTTTACAGAATGTAATCACAAATTCAAAAAGAACAAAAAACACAATAAATAAATGGCAAATGAAATGGGATCTATCCAATAAGGTAGACAAACTCATAAGTCATAAATAGACTTAAATGTAATATAATATATAGTTATTCGGACAAAGTTGAAAAAAGTGAAGAATCTGCCAAAGAAATTGAAAATGCCGACCATTTAGTTTTTCATTCTGAAGAATTCAAAATTTTCTGAGATTTCAGAAATTTATTAGACTCAAAATTAATAACAGAATTAACAAAAATCAAATTTTTGAAAACAAAATTATTAGCAGTCTATTTGGCGAGTATTACAGCAAAATTCAGAGAACACAATGACGTCAGATATTAAATAAAAACGAAAGATACTAATGCAGGGACCTTAACGAGGTTAGGGATGGGCATCGAAGTCGAGGTAACCCTTAAACAATAACTTAAGGGCAAAAAAAACGCTATAGATAGGGTCAAAATTGAATAAAAAAGAAATAGGAAAAATAAGAAAAAGTATAAAAATAGGGGATGTGCTGGATTGCATGAGAACCTATAAGAATAATAATATCTTAATAGAATAATAAACTTAGTAATCCACTGAAGAATATCAGGTTTTAGTAGAAGTAAATGCTTTTAGAAGGTTAAGGGTAGAATTTCGAATTTACAAGTAGTAGCCAAACTGCGAATATAATATTGCCACATCTTAACTACATTTTTTTTACAAATTTTGTTTAAAAGATACGTTGTAACAATAATTTGCTTATGGTCTGTCGTAATCATAAGTTGACTCAAAAGTTTTTTACTTGTCAACTAAGGATTAGCCTTTTTTTGCATACATTACATGCTCGAACGGATTTTAGACATTCAATTGCTTAATTCGAT